AAGAGGGCAAAGGAGTGCACGTATGATAATATACAAGAAAAGTTAGTAGCACTTGTCACTTGCTGCAAAGACAAAGCTCCAGGAAAGACTGAATACTGGATATTCCAAAAACTCAGGCAGAGCACTATGTTTGGTGTGAAACAACTAGAGCCTGGAAAAGTCAGGAAATGGGTTTTATACCCAGTACTACAACTAATTTTTTGTGTGATCACAGCGAATCACTTCCCTTGTAGGTCTTTTTTACATCATAAAAAGAGTTAGCCTAATTAGAGTTGAAAAGTGGGTTCCTTTTGCATGCCTAATGTTGTGGATGAAACTGTGTCCCCCTCAAAGATTTAATGAAGTCCTAAGGTATCTGTGAACGTGACCTTGTTTGGAAACAGCATCTTTGTAAATGTCATGGAGTTGAAATAAGGTCACGTTGGATTGGGATGGGCCATAAATCCCATCATTGGTGCCCTTATAAGAAGACATACACAGAGGTAAGACAGCCAGGTGAAAATGGAGGCAGAGATCAGAGTTATGCTGTCACAAACCAAGGAAATGTCAAGGATTACCAGCAACCACCAGAAGCTGGAAGAGACAAGGAGGATCCTTCCCTATAGCCTTCAGAGGGGGCATGGCCCTGCCAACACCTTGATTTTGGACTTCTAGCCTCCAGAACTGAGAGAGAATAAATCTCTGTTGTTTTAAGCCAACCAAAAGCAAACAAACCAACAAACTCAAACTCACTGCCATTGAGTCGATTCTGACTCACAGCAACCCTACAGGACACAGCAGAACTGCCCCATAGGGTTTCCCTAGGCTGTCATCTTTACAGAAGCAGACTGTCACATCTTTCTCCCATGGAGCTGTTGGTGGGCTAGAACCACCGACCTTTCGGTTAGCAGCTGGGCGCTTAACAACTGCACTACCAGGGCTCCTTTAAGCCCCCTAGTCTGTGGTGATTTGTTACAGAAGCCCTAGGAAACTAATACACCCAGCTGGAGAGTGACTGCAGGCAGCACCATTTAAAGGATTCTGAGGCTACAGGAGAAATGGCATGATCGTTTAGACATGTCTGCCAATGACGAGGGCTCCTTTAGCCATGCCTGCCATAGGTGAGGGATGCTGGGAAGAAGGGGAACGCATAATTGCCGTCCTTGGTCTAGATGATAGGTGGGATTGCCTCCTTCTTTTAAAATTCCATGACTACTGAACAGTGAACACAGTTGTAATCACCAAATCCAAAGCCCTGAACCTTGATACTGAAAAGACAGATAAACTGTACTATTTAAAAGAGAGAGAACTAAACATGTGGTGTCATGGACTGAACTGTGTCCCCCAAAAATATGTGTCAACTTGGTTAGGCCATGATTCCCAGTATTGTGTGGCTGTCCTCCATTTTGTGATTGTAATTTTATGTTAAAGAGGATCAGAGTGGGATTGAACACCCTTACTAATGTCACATCCCTGATCCAAGTAAAACGAGTTTCCCTGGAGTGTGGCCTGCATCACCTTTTATCTTACAAGGGATAAAAGGAAAGGGAAGCAAGGAGAGAGTGGGTACCTCATAACACCAAGAAAGCAGCACCAGGAGCAGAGTGCGTCCTTTGGACTTGAGGTTCCTGCGTGGAGAAGCTCCTAGCCCAGGGGAAGATTGATGACAAGGACCTTTCTCCAGAGTCGACAAAGAGAGAAAGCCCTCCCCTGGAGCTGAAGCCCTGAATTTGAACTTCTAGACTATTAAACTGTTAGAAAATAAATTTCTCTTTGTTAAAGCCATCCACTTGTGGTATTTCTGTTATAGCAGCAGTAGATGATTAAGATGTGGGATGTATTATCTAGCAAAATGTCATAGGTAGAAAATTATGCTATGATAATATCTACTCTAGCACAGAATTAAGGGTAACTGAGTCAATCCCAAAACTACTGGAGTTGCAAGACACACTTGCCAAAAGTCATGTAACTTCATGGATACCACAGTGCCCTAGCACCTGCTCATTACTAAGTGTTTTGCATGTATAATATCATCCAAGCCTCACAAAAGTTCCCAGAGGCAAATGCTATTACCACCCCCACCTCCATCTTCAAAGGGGAATCTGAGGCTAAGGGAATTTACGTCAGTGGCCTACATCACCCATCTAAAAAAACGGCAGAGTCAGGGCTGGTAGCCAGCTCTGTTTGATTCCAAAGCTCCTACTGTGAACAACTGTGTGTCAGTGCCTACCACATGGGTCACAATATTAGAGCTACTGCTTCTTCCTCAACGACCCCTCTTAAATTCTAAGGGTGTTGTTGGTCTGTAGCGTTTGGAATAGATACATTTTCCCCCACACTGTTTCAAGGATATTAGTTTTGCTTCCCTAGCTCAATGACAGCATCCTTGAGGGCAGGAAATGGCCACAATGCCTGAATCTTCATCAGTCTGTGCCTTTTTATCTGCAAAATGGGTACACAGTAGCTATCTCATAGGGTTGCTGGGAGGATTCAATGAGCTAATACACACATAAAACTAAAACCAAACCCATTGCGGTCGAGTCGATTCCGACTCATAGTGACCCTACAGGACAGAGTAGAACTGCCCTGTAGGGTTTCCAAGGAGCGGATGGTAGACTCGAACTGCCAACCTTTTGGTTAGCAGCCAAGCTTTTAAACACCGAGCCCCCCCAATTATACGTATATCACTGAGAAGTATATCACTGGAAACTATTACTGCCTCATATCTCACACAATATTTAAGTAGAATTAAGAGATTTGGGTTGTTCAGGTTCTACCGCCTTTGTCATTTACAATGCGTCCTCTTGGGCAAAACACTTAGCATCTCTGGGTCTGCGTTTCCTCATCTCAAGAAACAAAACTGGGGTTGATTCCCACCCTGTCTACCTCATAGAGTGCTATGATGATGAGATGGATGAGAAAGCACCCTGGAAAATCCAAAGGGTTAGATTAGGGTTTCTCAACCTCGGCTCTATTGACACTTTGGGCTGACATCTTTGTCATGGGGAGCTGTAGGATGTTTAGAAAAACCCCTGGCCTCTATCCACCAGATGCCAGTAATAATTGACCTCCATTTGTGACTACCAAAAATGTCTCTGGACATTGCCAAATATCCTCTCGTGGGCACAATCGCCCCTTGGTTGAGAATCACTGGATGATGTTATACTCAGATACCAGCTGACGTCTATTATAAGCAGCAGTTAGGGATGCTCAAGTTATACTCAGAACATTTCAAATTAACGGCTACCGTTTATTGAGGGTTTTCTATGTGTCAGGCACTGAGCGATCAACTTCTCCCAAATGGCCCAGCCTGATATCTCACACTCACCCTTGACTAGAGAGGGCACTGTTCTGACTCCAGCTGGCACTTCCTTGTCTCCCAAGGAGGATGTCAGGAGGAGGTGTTTTCTACTGAGTCCTGCCATACTCACCAGCATAAGGCTTATTCCTGCTTAATTGATCATTTCTGTATAAATGGATATTGAGTGCTATAAAATAGTTCATACCCCAACTCAACCCCCTCAGTTTTGTTAACACCATAAATTAGTATGGTAAAAGCTATACAGATAACGTTAAGAGAAACTCTGACCTAGTAGGATCTTTTTATTAGTTATTGACAAAGTTTTATGTCTTTCTCTTTCAGTCAATATATACGGTGCTTGGAAGAGGGAGAATGTGTTTTAAACTGCCACACACAGCCACCATCTGTCTAGGCCTGGAGGGGGGACCTGGGGTCAGCACAGGCAAATGGGCGGAAGTGGGAATGCAGCTCTGAACTCAGCTCTAGAGAAAGAAGGCTGGAGACTGTCCAAACACAACCAAGAAAGGCTTTGCAAATTTTAGAAATAAAACCTACACCTTTCTATCTCAGAGTCTCCCTGAGAAAGGACTATAGTCTCTCAGCCCTTGGAGTGGACACACGGGGCCTGGGGCAGGTGGCTGAGGGGTTCCAGTATACTGCATAAATATCATGCTACGTGTGCTGTGACTTGAAAAAAAAACTGGCAAGCACATCCCCAGAAAAGCAAAAATGTCAAGGTGATTTTTTTACCCTTCTTTGAGCTTTTCTCATTTCCTACAGTAAACGTGTTATTTACAAACATTAACCAACTGATGTTGTTTTTACACTTACTTGCTGTGTAATCTTTTTTTTTAAAATAATATTTTATTGTGTTTTCAGTGAAGTTTACACAGCAATTTAGGTTCACTTTCAACGATTTCTACACAAGTTGTTCAGTGACACTGGTTACATTCTTCACAATGTGTGAACGTTCTCATTATTTTCATTCTGGTTGTTCTGTTTCCATTAATCTAGTTTCCTTGCCCCCTTATATTCTCATCTTTAAGTAATTGTTGACAGTTTGGTCTCATATAGATGATTTTTTAAAGGAGCACAACTCTTACAGGTGGTATTCATTATTTTTTGAGCCAATCTGTTATTTAGCTACAAAGCGATCTCAAGAGTTTGAAGAGTTGCTAGGTAATCTTGAGAACACAAGTAACCTTAATCTTTCTGTGCCTCAGTTTCCTTGTTTGTAAAATAAGGATACTAATAGTATCCACCCCAATGGCTCATGCTAAGCACTGAATTTATGTTTACCATTATTATTTTTGAAATAATATTTTAAAAAAATTAAAAGTTCCAAGCACAGAAAGAACACCAAGAAACCAACCAATAAGTAAGCTAATAGCCTCCTGAGCACCAGCAAGAAAGGACTGAAAACTAGCTTATTAAGAGTGAAAGAAAAAAAATGAATGAAAAAAATACACCACCTTTCAGGAGAATAAGGCTGGTTTTGAGGCCAAGGAAGAGCTCTGAAGAGGGAAGAGGGGCGAAGAGAAGTTGATTTATGACACTGTTATCGCAGGCTCCACTTTAGAGGGCGGTTCAATTCATCAAATAATGAAAAAAGCAAAAGTCCGATTCCAGGCAAACACCAAGAAAACATGCAGCCTCAGCCACCACACTTGCAGGAACCAAAGCCCACGGCCCTGCCTGGGAAGCCACCCCGAGCCCTCACCTTGGAGGAGAAAGTAATCCGAAGTTGTGCGTTTCAGGGCTGCTTTGACTTTCTCACTGCGCCAGTCGACCTCCAGAGCTTCCTTCACTGGGCAGAAGACCATCTTCTGTGGAAAAAGGGGGAAAAGAGGCAAACGTGCTTAGAAATAAAACATGTGGGCTTTAAGTCACAAGGCAGCAGCTCTTCTCCATCTCAGAGAAATTCCATTATTTGAGGTTTACTGTTCATTGAAAGAAGCTGGGGCCCATTCCAATCTGATAAACACTTACTAAGCACCTCCTGTGTGCTCCTCTGGGCACTGGAGACACAGAAATGACTAAGATGTACACCCTGGACTGAAGGAAGACAGAGCAAGCTCCTAAAGGGCTAGCTCCATTCTGGTTCTTCAACTCTGACTGGGTCTATACTACAGAAATACTTAACACCAAGTTAGCAAGAATGTGTGTCTAACGATATTCAACAAAATATTCTTTGTAAAAGAAAACAAAAACCCAAATGTTTATCAGTAGAAGAATGGTTTAATTGATGATGACGACGGAAACAATAAAATAATAAATAGTGGGAAGAAAAACAATAAGCAAGGGAGGTGGAACAACAGCCCCTGGCTGTGAAAATGGCATTCGCAAAAGCCCTGTGGTACAAGAAAGTATGGCTGAGCAAAATCAAATCATCTTTAAAAACGTCATAATCTATATTCTATTTTGAAATATAAATAATTTGTTTTCTAATTCTGCTTGATTGAAAAAACAAAGCCCCCTTGCTGTCGAGTTGATTTCGACTCATAGCAACCCTATATGACAGAGTAGAACTGCCCCATAGGGATTCCAAGGCTGTAATCTTTATAAAAGCAGACTGCCACATCTTTCTCCCATGGAGCGGCTGGTAGGTTCTTCCTGGTGGATTTTAACTGCCAACCTTTTGGTCAGCAGCTGAGCTCTTAACCACTGTGTCATCAGGGCTCTAATTTTGCACAATACAGAGGCATTATTTGTGCCCACCAAAAAGGTTAGGCAATAAAAACATGAAGAACATTGTTTCCTTTCTCCCTCCTGAAAAATTTAGCCCAAAAGCCATTTGCTGGGGCTGAAATAAGGAAGGGAAGAGAGTATACATGGAAGGGGTTAAGTGGGTGGCCTGGCCAGAAAAAGTGGAGCAAGGTAAGGAGGGCATTCCAGGGGGCAGCAGCACGAGACTAATTACATTCATGGGCTTGATGCAACAATAGATCGAGGAGCCAGGGTTCTCACTGTGCAGAAGGGAATTAGAAATATGGAAAGGGAGAAAACTAGAATGAACCCTGCGGAGGGAGACACTGGTGTGAACTTATTATTTTCAATACATACGTTGTTGTTAGATGCCGTTAAGTCAGTTCTGACTCATAGAAACTCTGTAGGACAGAGTAGAACAGCCCCGTGGGGTTTCCAAGGAGCAGTTGGTGGATTTGAACTGCCGACCTTTAGGTTAGCAGCCGAGCACTTAATCACTACACCACCAAGGCTCTGCTTCAGTATATTTAGACACATACAAATGTAGACCTAAAGGTGGTGTGTGTGTGTGTGTATGTACATACAAGGTATTAACTACCTATGTCTGCTGACAGGGCCTACCAAGTAATACAACAGTGATAAGCACACCCTAGCACCCAGATCTTCGTTACCATTCCCCACTAAAAAATTTCTCTTTGGAGAAATGGCTGATTTCAAAGCGGGGACAGATATATACCTGTAAGAAGCTGAACTGCAAAGGTTGTGTGATAGATATATTTACAGTAACAACAAAAGAGCAGCTCCTGAGGCTGCTTATGTACAAACACATACCTCATGGGATTTGGCTTCTTGGTTTGGAGGTTTAAGGTCATGGTTTCATGGGAAATCTCAGTTAATTGGCTGAATACCATGTTAAGTGTTCTGTTCTACCTCGGAGTTCGTTGTGCAGTGCCTGGGGTCATAAAAGCTAGCAAGCAGCCATCCAAGGTACAATAATTGGTCTCTACTCACCGGGAGCAACAGAGGAGGAAGAAGAGTCAGGAATAGGAGTAGGACGTGGAATGTGTGGCTAATTGTCTCCATGAACAACTGCTGTCTCCATGAACAACTGCCTCCTTTGCCTTGAGATCAGAAGAACTGGATGGTGTCCGACCATCATTACAAAACATTTTGATCAAAGATTCTATCTATAGAAGAATCCTGATCAAAAGTGAGAAAATACAGAACAGAATTTCAAATTCTCATGGAATCCAGGCTTTCTGGAGCCATAGCGCTAGATGAACCCTTGAAACTACTACCCTGAGATAATCTTTAAACCTTAAATCAAAAATATCCCCTGAAGTCTTCTTTAAACCAAACGACAGTTTAGCTTAACTAGTAACGAATGTCTGCCTTGAGCACTGTGCTCTTTTAAGAACTATCTATTAAGAATGATCCAAATGACAACAGCAACTTGATGAGATAGGAAACTTAGGGGACAGTGAGTTTATGTTAATCGAGGAGGAACAATTAGGAAAAGAAGGATGAGAAAGGTTGTACAACTCAAAGAATGTAACTGTCAGTGAACTGTACATGTATAAATTGTTGGTGTATGTTCTGCTATGTGTATTCTCAACAACAAGAAAAACAGCATGACAGGAGCCTGGAACTTCTTATTGGGCCAGAAAGTAAGGAAATGCTCAAAGAATGATGGGGACATGTTAAAAGGACACAGAAACCAGCTTAAAGGGGCTCCCAATGGTCACATCTGGGACCATGCAGATAAAAATAAATGACAGTTATAGATTAAGAAATTTTAAATAAAATACAATCTATTAGTGCACAGACACAAAATTAATTGATTAAAAGTTTGATGAGGAACAGGGTATTTACATATTTTCAAAGTACCTCCCCATAAAATACATATTAATCACACAGGGTAAGTAACTTGCCAAAGGAGAAGCCTGGCAGACATCATCTTAACTGTAACATCATCATCAGTAATCGAGCACATCAGTAATGGGGCCTATGTACCACACGAAAGGATGCACTGAGCAGTAGCCATTCTGTGCTACTCCTGCCCTAGATGGGTTAACTGGAATCTAATCACCAGGAAACATCAGAACTCAAATGAAGAGACGTTTTACAAAATATAGTAACTGGGCTGTAAATCTTCAAAAGTGTTGTGAAAATCTAGATGCACGCACAATTCTGAACCGGGTCCCTTTGCCATAAAGGACGTTATTGAAACAACTGGTAAAATCTGAATAGGGTCTGAGGATTAGGTGGTAGTGATGAACTGATGAGACTTTTCTGATTTCGATGGTTGTTCCGGGGTCACGTAGGAGTGCGTCTTGTCTGAGAAAATACAAACTAAAATATTTGGGGGTGGCGGGGCATTATGTTGGCAACTTACACTCAAATGGTTTATTTAAAAAAAAAAAAAAGTTCTTAGCACAACACTTGCTACTTTTTGTAAGTTTGAGATGGTGTGTATGTATCTTTCTTCCTCTCTCTCTCTCTCCACTAAGTGAGCCAAGACCTATCAGCTACCAGGCAGTTTCCACAGCTCACTAAGGACCAAGATTGACTTGAGGGATGAAAGTTCAAATAAGTAAAAATTAAACAGCTATGGTTTTTAGGTGGCTTCCTGCCTCCCCATAATCACTCCTCCATGGTCTGGATCCATTGTAAAAGCTAGTATATAAGATGTTTGTACTGCCCTCAAACCTTTTGGTCAAAGGGTCTGTTTGACCTCAAACGGTAAGTCATGTAGTCAGCCTAGCGACATTTAGTGCCTGGTGCAGTCTGCCAGACCCTTCTTAAAGAGTCTTAAAACACAGATCAAGCCAGCAACATTATGGTCTGAAAATGCTATCAGAATGAGAAGACAAAGCCTTTTAGGTTTCAAAAGCTACCAAGATCTTAACTTAGCATTCCTGTGTTTGCCTGGCTCATAGTGACACTAAGCATCCAGTGATACATTAGGCCACTATATGACAGGGGACCCTGTTTAATAGTCTCCGTCATAGGCAAGGCTGCCCTCACACTTTTAGGACCTAGAACAGAAGTGCAAAGATCCACATATTATGTCTAAACATTTTAGTTATAAATCATGTCAACAACCTCTTAAATGAAGTATACTGTATTCTTATACCATGATAAATACACCTTCTTCATAAACACCTGGAAGGCCAGCTTCATATTTGGAATTCTCATACTCCTAGGGAGCTCTATGCCACAAGAAGTACACTGAACAAGCTGGTCTCATCCTTTTCTTCCTTCTCTTCCCACCTCTGGTTCTATCCAAGGGGCTTGGCACTAGGGTGTGGACAACCCAGCCTGCAGCTCCAAATCCATCCCTCAGGCCTAGGCCTACGGGCATTGTGGCAAAGTCCACACTCTGGAGGCAGGCCAGGGAGGAAGCCCACACACGCCCAGGAATTAAGCTTGGGGTTGTCTGGGCAGGGGATTCCAGGGGACTCAAGAATCCCAAGTATGGTCTAGATCTGGGGGTGCAGAGGGGGTACAAGCTCCAGGTAGGCATATCTTCTTGGTCCCATGGAATCGTCACCCTATGAGGGAAAGGGCTGGAAGAAGGTCAGAGTGGGGCTTTCTAGAGCACTGGGGTCAAGGATCAAGGCCCCTTTCGCCCAAGATTAAGGGCAGGACAAGCCCAGTTCCACCACTAATTCATGACCTTGTTGTTGTTGTTAGGTGCCGCTGAGTTGGTTCTAACTCATAGTGACCCTATGTACAGCAAAATGAAACACTGTCTGGTCCTGTGCCATCCTCACAATCGTTGCTATGTTTGAGCTCATTGTTGCAGCCACTGTGTCAATCCATCTTGTCGAGGGTCTTCCTCTTTTTTGCTGACCTTCTACTCTACCAAGCATGAAGTCCTTCTCCAGGGACTGATACAATGTCCAAAGTATGTGAGACAAAGTCTTGCCATCCTATCTTCCAAGGAACATTCTGGCTGTATTTCTTCCAAGACACACCTGTTCATTCTTCTGGCAGTCCATGGAGTATTCAATATTCTTCACCAACACCATAATTCAAAGGCATCAACAATTCTTCAGTCTTCCTTACTCACTGTCCAGCTTTCGCATGCATGTGAAGCAACTGACCTTAGGCAAGT